TTGGGGTGCCTTAACCCCTAGCCCCCACCACCAGGTGGGTAACCCCGTTTGGGTGAAGGGCCCAGAGGGCAGACCCTGGGAGAGAGTGAGGGGCTAGAGACCCAACCCAAATGAGACAGTACCCTCGACTGGCCCATGCTGGGGCCAGGACCAGGATGGTCAAAAGGGCCAGGGGCCCACCGTGAGGGACGCCCAAAAGCCGGGGGTCTGGGGTCCCGACTGGCCTGGAGGTGGGCCAGGGCTAGTAGCCAGAGGTCCCAGGGGGACCACACCCGAGAGGGGGAAAAGGTTTGGGGGGCTAGGTAGCCTGAATGAAGGCGGAGAGGCCGTCTGAGTGGAGGGATCATGGAGGGGTCCTGTTAGGATGATTCTGGGGCCCAGTGTGGGGGCTGGTGATTATGTGAACATCAAGATGCCATCTGTGAGGCTTGGGCTGCGGTATAGGGGAGGAAAGGAGCTGCGGAGAGCGCCCCTGGCATCGGGGCACCAAAATGGGCAGCCTCCTGCTTAATTGACATCAATTAATGAATCAATTAACATCAAGGCGTGGCGGGCGAGAAGGCAGGTGGTTGGCCCAAGAACAGGTGGGCGGGGCACAGATCAGCCCTGAGTAGGCCCCCTGTTACACTTGACAAAGATGTTCAAGAGCAGGGAGAGGCTGCTGAGTGCCAGAGTGTGGAAGGTGCACCAAAGAGTCTTAGAATCATAGAAAATTAGGATTGGAAGGGACCTCAGGAGGTCATCTAGTCCAACCCCCTTCTCAAAGCAGGACCATCCCCCACTAGATCATCCCAGCCAAGGCCTTCTCTAGCCAGTTCTTAAAAACTTCTAAGGATGGAGATTCCACAAGCTCTCTGGTTAACCTGTTCCAGTGTTTTACTATCCTCCTAGTGAGAAAATTGTTCCTAATATCTAACCTAAACTTTCCTTGCTGCAACTTGATACCATTGCTCCTTGTTCTGTCATCTGCCACCACTGAGAACAGTCGAGCTCCATCCTCTTTCAAACCTCCCTTCAGGTAGTTGAAGGCTGCTATTAAATGCCCCCCCCATCTTCTCTTCTCCAAACTAAATAAGCACAGTTCCCTCAGCCTCTCCTCAGAAGTCATGTGCCCCAGCCCCCAAACCATTTTTGTTGCCCTCCACTGGACTCTCTGCAATTTGTCCATATCTTTGTTGTAGTGGGGGGCCCAAAACTGAACACAGTACTCCAGATGTGGCCTCACCAGTGCTAAACAGAAGGAAGAATCACTTCCCTTGACTTGCTTGCAACACACCTACCAATGCAGCCCAGTATGCCATAAGCCTTCTTGGCAACAAGGCAGTGGCGTACCAATGGGG